AAATCTTCACCACTGGACCAATAAATAACATTCTTATCAATGGAGAAAAGATTGAAGTTGTCAAGGACTTTATTCTTCTTGGATTAACTATCAACACTCATGGAAGCAATAGTCAAGAAATCAAACGACATATTGCATTAGGCAAATCTGCTGCACAAGACATTTTTAAAGTGTTAAAGAGCAAAGATGTCAACTTGAGGACTAAGGTGCACCTGACCCAAGCCATGGTAATTTCAATAACCTCATATGCATGTGAAAGCTGGACAGTGAGTAAGGAAGACATTAGATGAATTGATGCTTTTGAATTATGGTGTTGGAGGAGAATATTGAAAGTGCCATGGACTGCCAAAAGAACCAATAGATCCGTATTGGAAGAAGTGCAGCCAGAGTGCTCCTTGGAGGCTGAGATGGCCAAACTTCGTCTCTCATACTTCGAACATATTGTCAAGAGGGAGCAGTTGCTGGAGAAGGATATCATGTTTGGTAAGGTGAGGGTCAGAGAAAAAGAGGAAGAGCCCCAACGAGATGGATTGGCCAAGTGGCAGCATCAATGGGCTCAAGCGTGGCAACAGTAGTGAGGCTGGCTCAAGATCTGGCAGTGTTTCGTTCTGTTGTGCATAAGGTCGCCATGAGTTGGTACTAACTCGATGGCACCTAACAACAACAACAACAACAACAACAACACCTATTTGCATGATCCCACCCCTACTGGGGCTGTATTTACATTACTAGGAAATTATCCAATCCCCTTGGTGGACCATGAGCACTTATTTGCACAGTCCCACCCAGTCACTTGGTGGGAGTTCCAAGGCCATATAAAAACAATCCATCACATTGCAGTTGTAATCAACTTTATAGATGGTGTTTTTTCCATCTAACATTACATATACGGCAGCATTTAAAAATATGACCTACAGTATTCACAATCAATATTTAATAGATGTATAATATTTCAATGAGGCAGGCTGTAACTTACTGCTACCCTACTGTTAGATATTTGGGTTGTTCCTAAATTTTCAGTATTATAATAAAGCCATCACAAATTCCTTTTTACATACTGATGCTTTGTGCATATTTTGGATTATCTTCTTAGACTAGATGCCCAGAAATAGGATTACTGGATCAAGGGTATAAGCCGAATGCGTCTAGCAGGATTATTTCAATTTACATTGCCAATAATAATGTAGGAAAATACCAGCTTCACTGGTATATATCACTTTAGTACACTGCCTAGTTTTTTCTTCTTCTAATTAATGAGGAAATGGTACCTCTTTGCTCTAACTTGTCATTTAAAAAATATTAATGGATCAACTCGTTTCCTCAAGGAGGCCTGTTGATGCAGTGGTTAAGCACTCAGTTGCTAACCAAAAAGTCGTCAGATTAAATCCACCAGCCACTCCATGGGAGACAGATATGGCAGTCTGCTTCCATAAAGATTCCGACCCTGTGAGGTAGTTCTACCTGCCCTATAGGACTGCTATGAGTAAAAATAGATGCAATAAAATGTTTCATCTTTTTCTTATGTATACCCAGCAAGTGCTTTTGTTGTTTTGTCTGAATATGTCCTTTCATATCGACCAGGATGTTTTGGAAGTATTTTTATCACTTTATTTTAAAAACCCTATAGAATCACACTATCAACCTTTCATTTTGTCCTATGTTAAAATACTTTCCAGTACTGGAAGGTTTAAAGAAGAGGATTGATTTCCAAGTAGATCAATCATATAGTTTATGTTGGAAAAAGTTTCTCATACCAACAGCTCCTTCAACAACAATAAACTAATACTAATAAACTTCTGGTGTGGTGCTGTGGGTTAATGCGCCTGGACTGCAAAGTCAGTTTGAACTGCAAGGTCGACTGTTTAAGCTAACCAGTCGCTCCTTGGAAACCCTATACAAGGTCGTTATGGGTCAGAACCGACTCTATGGCTGAACAACAATAAACTAATAATCCCAAGGAATATGTTGGAAAGTTCTTTACAAGGTTTTGGAAATACATGTGGGGATGGTGGCACAAAGGGTTAAGCAAATGGTTGGTGATTCTGTCAAACTGGTAATCCGCTTCCAAAATGTCACGGCCTTGAAACCCGTTTGAGTACTTCTCCTCTATACACAATGGCAACTAACAACAATGAGGTCAATAAATGACTTGTTCTAACAGGGCTCACCCAGTTCCCTTTAACTAGCAGAATCTTGGTTAAGTGCTCAGCTGTCAACCGGAAGGTTGGAGGCAAAGACCTACCCAGTGGATCCATGAAAGAAGGACCTTCTGATGTAGAAAATCCTATGAGGTCACTATACTCTGTCATATGGACTCACTATGAGTCAAAAATCAACTTGATGGCACCTAATAACAAAACAACAGGCACAAGTTTGAGTGCTAACTCTGACAGGGAACTGCAGGGGAATTCAAACTCACTCTAGCTAGGATACAGGTAATATATATTTTTTTAAGCAGTTGGGTGGGTCATACTCAACAGACAGAACAAACAATTATTTTCCATGACCAGAAAGGGATACACAGTTTCCTAGAAGGAGGCATTTCCTAAGCATAACATAAAACATTCCAAGAGTACCTGATAGTGAACAGAACTCCCAACTCAGGTTTCTTAGGAATTCTGTCTTTTGTAAAAGTGGTTGATAAGTGCCATTGCATCAGTTTCCAGCTCACAGAGATCCTGTAGAGGGTTTCTGAGGCTGTACATCTTTATGGGAGCAGAAAGCCTTACCTTTCTCCCACAGAGCAGCAGGTGGATTTGAATTGCCCACCTTGTGGTTAGCAGTCCTCACAGAACTATACTGTAGCCAATTTTTTCCAAAAAGGAAAAAGTGAAGAGGTTCTTGTCAAAGAAAGGTCAAGTTTGGACTCCGCTAGAGTACATGTGCACACAGGTGTGCACACAGGTATACCTGCTATCTGTATCCCCCGGTCCCACCAACGTCAGGTCTTTGAAGTGGCTGCTGGGGTGAGGATGGGGGGATGCTGAGGGGTGAGGGTAGGGGGATACTGCAAGGCAAGGAAAGGCAGCTCTCTTTCTCTTGACCCCGGCAGCATCTGAGACACTGCTTTGTTGTTGCTAAATGAGGATGAGTTGGTTCCGACCCATAGTGACCATGTATAGGGTCTCCGAGGAGTGACTGGTGAGCTTGAACTGCTGACACTGCGGTTCAAATTGACCTTGCAGTCCAGAACATTAACTGGCAGCGCCACACTGCTAGAACCATAAAATTGCCATCTTGACTTTCCCAGCGATGAAGCAGGTCACTTGGCTTCCCAGGGACCAGCTGGCCTCTGCTTAGCAGCTCCAAGAGCTGGAGGTCAAATAACTTTTGCAAGCTTGTGACCTCATCATTGTGACACCCAGGTGACCTGGCGTTAACAAAGTGCTGACTGTCCTTTCAGTCCTTTGGAAAGCACTCAGGTTTTTAATAGAAGGGACCTATAATTAGGGTAGTAGTCGGTGCTCTTTAACTAGGGAGAAACAGTCCTAAGATCCCCTGTAGTTCAGCACAGACACCATGCTTAAAATTTTTGTATCTTCAAATCTGGTATCCTTTTTCCCTTTTTAAATGTTGTAAATATATATCCATAGCAACATTTGCCAATCCACATTTTTCAGGTGTACAATTTAGCAATATTGCATTAATCATGTTAAGTAATTATCACCCATAATAATCAGAAGAAATTTAGTGTATTGAAGGGACCAGCCTTTTCTTCTTGAGTGTGGGCTCTCTGATTAGGTTTCTTACCTAGCCCACAAGGCAGGACCCAGTTGTCCCTCCTAGCTGTCCCAGAAACTGCAGACAGCTTACAGCTTCTTCTAAGCAGCTATCATTGACCTCTGTGTTGGACTTGCTGAACTTTAAAACCTCAAAATCACCAAGAACGGAAATACAAAAGCCCAAGGCCTAAAGTCTAGAAGTGACCAAAGGAAAAATGTAGGGAAACTCTTGTACATTTCACAGATTGTTGTTGTTTAGTGCCGTTGAATCGGTTCCGACCCACAGTGACCCTGTATAGGGTTTCCGAGTTGCCGATGGTGAGCTTTAACCGCCAACCTTGTAGTTTACACAACTTTGCAGTCTGGCACATTAACCCACGGTGCCACACCAGGGCTCCTTTCACAGCTTGTTGTTGTTGTTATGTGTTGTTGAGCCGGTTCCGACTCACAGTGACCTTGTACAGGGTTTCCAAGGCTGTAAATCTTTATGGGAGCAGAAAGCCTCATCTTTCTCCCTGGGAACAGCTGGTAGTTTCGAACTGCTGACTGTGAGGTTCGCAGCCCGATTCGTAACCACTACTCTAACAGAGCTTCTTTCACAGCTTGTTGCTGTAGTTGTTAAGTGCTGTCCAGTCGATTCCGACCCATAGCAACCCTGTATAGGGTTTCCAAGGAGCAGCTGGTGAGCTTGACCACGAACCGCCAACCTAGCAGTTCAAACGGCTTTGCAGTCTGGCGCATTAACCCACAGTGCCACACCAGGATTCACAGCTTGGACAAGGCTGTTTTTCGGCCTTGGGAGTGGCTGAAGGCGCCACACCCACTGTAGCAGTGGCTGGGAAGGTGGCACCGGAGAGGGAGCAGCCGAAGCTCTAAGCTCTGGGCAGCCGCCTACTCACCTCCCAGCCTGGGGACCAGTGAAGCGGGGACAAGCACAGGGTGTCCTTCCAAATGCTTGGGCCAGACTCCCTAGGAGAGCACTGTAGGGAGTGACTCACCCAGTAGGGAGCTGACTTGAGTGAGGGGGTCACCTCACCACGGCAAAGAGGGGAACCCTCTGAGGCAATGCTCGGGGCAAGCCTGACATTGTGCTGCTAGTCCAGAGCTGCCCTAGGGGCACTGCATCGCTGGGTGCCCACTTTTGGTGCCCACTCAGCTGGACCATTTTTGGTCCAGTAAAGACGGTGCCGCCTGCGAGGGGCGTTATCCACAAGAAAGGCCAGGTAGGGGTCCATCAGAGTCAGGGACTCCAGGGGAAACAGAGCGGCCGCCACCCACCTTATAATATGAAAGGCCCAGAGTAGACGGCCGGAACCGCGGCAGTGCGCAGCGCGCACGATGCTGAGATACAGGTACAGGGCGATGGCCACGGTCCAGAAGAAGGAGCTGGTATTGGCGAAGGTGGAGAGCGCGCCCTGCAGCACGCAATCCCACGAAGGTCCCGAGAAGTCCTGTAGCACCCCATAGAAGTAGGAGGCAGCCGAAAGCAGGTCGGCCAGCGACAGGAAGAGCAGCAGGCGCCGCGCCCGGCTGCGCAGGTCGGGCCACAGGGCGTGTGTGGCCACCAGCAGGCCCGAGCCGAGCGCGGAGAGCACGCAAGACAGCAGTACTACTGCGCGCTCCGACGGCACCAGCACGGTGGGTGGCACTGGCAATGGCATGGTTCGGTGGGGGCCGAGCGGGCACAGGCCGCGGCGTCCTGAGGGCTGAATCTGCGCCGCCGGTGGGGTTACCACCGCCGCCGCCGTCTGGGCAGCTAGGCGCCCGCGGCTCGCGTCCCGGCGCCC